CCTGTGCCGGTCGATGTCAAAGGTCTTCGAAAATTCCTTGGGCTAGCGGCGTATTTGCATAAGTATTCACGCAATTACGCCGAGATGACTGTGCACCTCTCTCGTTTGTTGAAAAAGAACGAGAGGTGGTTATGGAACGCTGAATGTCAACGCTCCTTTGAGGGTATCAAGCAGAGCTTGATACAATCCCCAGTCCTAGCAATAGCCGATCAGGACAGGCCATTTCATGTGGTCTGTGATGCCAGCGATTTCGCAATCGGCTGTGCATTAATGCAGTACGATCTTGAAGGCGTTGAACGCGTCGTCTGCTATCAGTCGCGTCAGCTGCAACCAGCTGAGCGGAACTATCCAGTGCATGACAAGGAACTCCTTGCCATGAAGTATGCACTCGCGAAGTTCAGAGTCTATCTATTAGGAGATAGACCCTTCGTTGTTTACACTGACCATGCGTCATTACGCACGGCAGTGAACAGCCCGCACCTTTCACAACGAATGGCGCGGTGGTTGTCATTCTTTGCAGAATACAACTTTACGGTCGAGTACAAACCAGGACGACTTAATGTCGTCGCTGATGCACTCTCACGTCGTCCCGACTTTGAAACAGTCGCGAAACCCAACAGTGAGACAGTCACTGTTGCGGTTATGACGTCCTCAGTCCCATCTACAACGTTGTATGATGATGTGAGGCGGGCATACGCCCAAGATGGTGAGATAGTGAAGTTGTTGACACATCTCTCCCAACCATCTCGAGAATCGTTGAAACGATTGTCGTCTGCGTATCGATCTGCATCAGATCGATACACTGCTCGTAACGGTATACTGTATTATACAGCCGTTTCTGGTGACACACCACGTGTTGTCATTCCAGATGATACTGATCTGCGTTTGCGGATCATGTTCGAGTATCACGATGCTCCTATAGGAGGACATCGTGGCCGGGAGAAAACATATCTCACGGTAAGTCGAGACTTTTACTGGCCCCGCCAGTATCAGTTTGTGCGAAAGTATGTTCGCGCATGCGAAGTCTGTCAACGAGTGAAGCCAAGTCCTTCACTGCGTGCACCTTTACAGCCTCTACCGGTTCCGGCTGAGTGCTGGGAATCCATCTCAATGGATTTCGGCTTCGGGTTACCCAAAGACGCACGCGGGAATACGGGTATTCTCGTATTTGTTGACAGATTCAGCAAAATGGTACACCTTGTGGCTGTACCAGAGACAATCACGGCAAGTGGCTGTGCTTGTGTCTTTATTGACACCATCTTCCGACTTCATGGGTTGCCCCGTGAACTCGTATCAGACAGAGATCCACGATTCACTGCTGATTTCTGGCGTTCCGTGTTCAAATCACTCGGAACGCGCTTGAAGATGTCGACATCTGATCATCCAGAGTCAGATGGTCAGACGGAACGTGCCAATCGTGTCCTCGAAGAGATACTTCGAGGATACGTACACTCCTTTAAGAGTTGGAGTGAGTTCTTGCTCATGGTAGAGTTTGCCATTAACAACTCGGTGCATGCGTCCACGACACATACACCGTTTTACGTAAATGGCTTACGCCATCCGCGTGTACCCACCTTACTAGAGTGTGACTCTGGTTTAAGGGGGGAGGGACTCGCGCGAGCAAAAACCGATTTGGTTCACGCTCATCACGCTCTGACAAAGAGGTCATTGCGTTTGATGCCGATATCAATAACATCGATATCGAAGAAGATGTGCCAGTGAGAGTGCGGAAGCCCTCACTGAAGAAAAGATTGTTGTCGCTGCAGTGCACTCACAGCGCACTGAAGCTAACGAGCCAGCAGATGAGTTCGTACTGGCTCGTGAAACGGTAGTCCGTTTTGTGCAAGACTCCATCGCCGAAGCGGTGGATAAGCAAAAGCAAAACGCTGACAAGAATGGAAGGGCAAACACTCTTTTATTTAATAAAGGTGACTTAGTCCTACTGTCTACGGTTAATCTACCAAAGCATGTAGTGACTAACTTGGGTAGCAGTAAACTACTACCCATGTACATCGGCCCATTTCGTGTATTGCATCGCCTAGGCAATGCATACACAATCGAATTGCCACGTAAGATGTGAACGCATCCCACGTTTTACGTTGGTCGGCTAAGCCGTGCCATCAGTACGCTGCTTCTTCCGATGAAGAACGCCCTTGCGCTCACGCATCTCGCAGATACCCTTGTGCTCCCGATGGTGGGCATCGACAAGGGTCTGAAGAGCAGTTATCTCATCCCGAGACCGATCAACAATCCCACGAGCTACCCTTAGCTCGTCACGCAGAGACGTCAGAGCTCTCTCGTTCTCAAGCTGAGCAAAGGCAAACTCAGCTCGATGCCTCGAGACAGCATCCGCCAGTTGGAGGCGCCTGTCCCGCTCATGTTCGAGATCACCGCGTAACCCTTGCGTTACGCGATCAAAGAAGCTCTCGGGAACACACCCTTCCCCACGATTGTTTGGAGAGCGTCTTCCCTCCTCCTCCACCTCCATTAGAGGACTCTCGCGGTGGCCAGCGCTATCTAGTTGAGCAGCTGTTGAACCACCGCGACGTGAACGGACGTCGGACGAGTTATCTCGTCCGGTGGCGCGGCTATCCCCCGTCCTGGGATTCTTGGGAGCCCCGCTCCCAACTGATGATCGACGTACTGGGTCTGGTTGAGCAGTACGACGCGGCACATCCTGTGCCGCAGAAGGACCGCCGGAGAAAGTCTTCCCGGCACGGTCGTAAAGGGATTTCAGGTTGTCAATCCCTTCGTACATCTCAGTAGAGACACATACGCGCCACCACGGGCTGGTAAGGAGGTAAGCCTCCTTAGGTGCTCGTGCAGAGTTGTTCACACAACATGGGCACGAGTCTCCCCAAGAGAGGCAGGGTAATCCTTTCTCCCTTGACAGACGATGCAGCTTGTAGCGCGCACCTGTCGGGGTTCGCTTTTCAAACTTATCACGAGCTTTGATAAGTTTGTCGTTCCAAGCGTCACGACCTACATCCTCGAGGTTATGGATGTAGGCGTTCCACGCCTGAAGTAGTGAGGGACCATCACGTTTGTGATTCCCACTGTACCATCGATGTCTAAAGAAAGCATCGATGAAGAATTCATGTTCAGCGCGATAGTTTTTCGCGCTGGGGTCAAGGTGATGGATCCTTGACGAATCGAACAATCGTGTTCGATAACGATCACTCGTCGTCGCCGACAAGTGATCCATGACTGATTTAGGAGGCATCCATGCCTTCTTCTCAGGAGCGAGACGCAACACATTGCGGTCCCGCTCTTCCTGCGACGTGCCGACAGAAGTACTGGCACCTCGCTGTGAAGTGGTGTCCATAGGAGAACCGACACCACTATTAGCGCCCAAGTCTCGCGACCTCGAGCGCCTCGCTTCGGCGATGGTTCATCTGATTCATCAGATGAACCAAAGATGCTGCGACGCAAAGCATCGTCCATGCCACGCTTGGCAGGCGGCTTAGATTCAATCGCCGTCGATACGGATCCGTCATCCGTATCAGGAGAGTACGAGACACCGAGCTCGTACTCTGTGAAGACACGAGTGTCTTCATGACCAGCGCCTGCATCACCAAGTGACACAGGCTGGGTCGCTTCAGCAACCGATGAGACATCAGTTGCTGTTGTTTCTGCTTCGACGTCCGCACAGAGACGTGCAGACGCGCTCTCGGCGGCCTTGCTCGCGCATCGCATGGGCTTGTTAACCATGCGATGAGATGTTGGAAAGTGGACGCGGACCAACAAGTGCAAACCCTGTCCCAAATGATTTGGGACGAGTATCCATTTAGTCAATCAGTCACTAAAGTGACTGATGGTTAAGGGGGGTGATGTAACGGGGTGAATCGCTACATAACAATTTATAAGAAATTGTTAATAGAATATAACTATAAGAGTTATATTCTCAGAATATTGTCATAAGGACAAATATTCTGTAGCACTTACAAGTAGTTCCTAATTGGTTGATATAGGCCATTATATCAACCAACGAAGACGCGCCACGACAGACGCACGCAATGAGTGGTGAGCAGATAACTGATTTACACATTTGTATTTAGACATAGTTAGATGAAGATAAATAGTGATTTATTGCAGACATTAACTATTATAAATACAGTTCTACTTTTACTCTAACCAAGTACTCGCTTCTTCTTACCGTCTTCCTCTGCACGTACGAGTGTACGTGAAGTTACGAGGCACCGCCTTATTCTGTCATCAGAATAAGTAGCTTGTACTGTCACCAGTACAAGCTTCAGGGTGCCCCGTTACAATCTACGATCAGAGACGCCTCGAAAGTCATGTGTCTTAGACAAGATCAAAATGGGGAACTGAACTTAGTTTGCGTACATCTCGCTATAGAATACATTTATCATAATCTACCGAATCTAGGCACTCCTGTCCTAACTTGATATCTTCAAAATCTTTCCTATCTTGTGGCTGACACGCTCGTCAGTCCCTGTACACCAATGATATATTCTAAATCTCTTTCAGTGGGATACCATTCCGTGTGGCTAAGACACAGGGTACCTCGTACCCTACAATGTGTTACCTCTTAGCAGTTGGCGTCTCGTCTTCATCTTGACTGCTTGTCAAGGGGACCAGTAAACGTGAACTTTGAAAAGCATGAATTAAAGACGAACTCTGATATCAATACCGTGCATACGTGTATTTTACACCGGTTTTCAGCTTGCACAAGTGTTTTAACAAACCGTGTCACATTATGGTGAAACTTTCAAACCGTGTCACCTTATGGAATATTTCCCTATAAATAAGCGGGGTGGATGCATAAACACCTTGGAAAGTCACAGATGTTCGATACCGTGCTGGATCTGTCTTGGGAAAAGGAGTGTTGTTGCTGGTCGCAAATTATGATACTACTGCAGCTATCGATTGTACGGCTTCTTTGCATATCCTACTCAGTGAGCGATGCCATACATCAAGCAGATTAATCCATGACAAACGAGGACACTTGGTCCACGCGAATTACCTCGTCTAGAGCATCAACCCTTGTCGTATAGGCCAAATTGACCACCTGTGTGTATGAACAAAATGTCCTTCCCTGCGAACTTCTATAAGAATCGACAGCATGGACAATTAGTCGAAGAAAGCCATCTGTGTCATTTTCCATGCGTTGCCGTACCTGTGGCTCCTCCTTTAGCTCTCTGATAAGATTCAAGAGTGCTTTGCCCGAGTAGACAGGATCCAATAGCACACCGGTTTTGCGGCTTACCCTGTAAATGAACTCTAGCTCGCTTTTCGTACTGCGAGCGTAGCCCTCTCCCTGCGCGTTCGCGACCTGAAGAAACTGGCGTGACGAAATGTCAGAAGGTGCTCCCATTGCGGGTAGGATCTGATCATCGATGTAGTTGTAAAAGTAACCATCATCGTCACAAACGATGTAAGCGTGCGCTGCAATAAATCCACAAATTCACAGATGTACACGGGTGAGTAGAAGCACCTGATCCACCTCGAGCATTCAAACCTACCTGGGATGTTAGTTTTGAAGTTCAGAGCTGAATTCGGGTGAGATGCAGCGAAGAGATACGAGCCGAGGCCAATTCCAGCAGCAGTTCCTCCGCTTCCACACGCAAATGCAATGTCCGTGATCGGTAGCTCATGTGTCTATCCACCACAAAAGCATCAACTCCAGACGAGCCGCATTTCACGAGACACTAAAATCAACTACACGGACCTTTAGTTGGTTGTTGATCTCGTCGATGGCTTGAATGTAACCCCATGTGCCCAGCCCGTTGCTACCGCCAACTGGAATTGGATATGGATGGCGACCTTTTTTCTTCAAACGGTCGCATGTTTGCTGTGAAAAAGCAATTTTCAATGAGCTTTTATCTCGCAAAAGACGTTCCAATACTTGTAGCGTGAATTAACCTTGATCATAGCTTCGCTACCATATTTGCCGTACTGCTGACGAGACATCTGGATGATGTTGGCGTCCAGCAACCTTCCACATCAATAGCATGGCTTTTCTTATCTTTTTTCGTCGCTGTGTCAAAATGACTACTTACTTACCGGTCAAACAGCAGGTTTCCAACTAGTCCGGGGGCTTCGTCTGGCTCGTTGGTGCGTAGTAGCAAAAACGAGTCCATGCCGAGTAACCTGGCGACAGCAGCAGACGCTCTGCAGTGGTTACTTTGGATTCCCCCGCATGTGACGATGCAATCAGCTTTCTGCTCTAGCGCTTCAGCCAGCAGAAATTCCAGTTTACGGATCTTGTTTCCAGACGTCTCTATCCCACTGAAATCGTCGCGCTTGATGAACATGCGGACGCCATTTGGAAGTCCTGGAGGTGAAAAGTGAAAAATTGGTGTCGGGAAGTGACCGAGACGCAGCTTCTTCGCCGGGCGATGACGCAATGCACATGCCCATGCCGGCGGGTTGAAAGGGATAGATCTGAGCATGATAAATGTCAATTTTGGGTACATCCACGGCTTTTATCGTACGATTTTAGACATTTGTTAGGGCAAAGTGTGTGAAATACGTCATTAGACTCACGTATCCGTTTTGACCGGTGAGATTAAAGTAAATACGTGTGGAATGTTAGATCTATTGCTCTGATCTAAAGCTCGCGCTTTGTAAGGTCCTAATGACTTGACTTCAAATCTACCACTCATTGAAACAACATGAACGAAAGCTGTATGTTCACGTAAAAAGGTACATAGACTGTCGAAAGAAACAGTGCATGAAGTTGTATAGTCGTGCAGAACTATTGTTGATCGTACAACGAAGCTATATCCGGTCACCATGATTATACAGGCCTGCAACGAACTGACAACGATGCGCCACTGTATCTTTTCATTCCAAAACAATTTACGTACAACGACCTTGAGAAACAAAACAACCTAAAGAGGACGGTCTTGTCGATCAATGAACTCTGACCTGTCGTTCATGTAATAAGTACGCGTGCTTGCTGGTCGGCTTTTGGGTACGATAAATTCGAGTCATAAATTGAAAGCAGCCTGCTTTGCATTCGAGTTTGTGATAACCTAATGCGTGAAGTTATGATAGTGGTGTTGTTAGGGCATTACTAACGAATAACATTAAGCAAGACTACTGCATTAGCAGCGTATGACACGGGCATTAACGCAGTTGTGGTTTTGCCGAGGAACTCGGTAGATAAATAAGGTGCGGTTAACGTGGACGTGATCTAAAGGCGGTTGCAACTGTAAACAATTAAATCAAGGCAGTTCCGCCGCACTCGTAGGTATATTCGCCTATGATTGACGAGATTCGGATCCATGGTTCCCAAAGAGTCGTAGCAAGAGCAACGCGGTCAAAAGTGAAATGAGATGCCCTCTGGATATCGATAAGTTACCAGTTTCGTAAAAAGGGGAACTCACGATGGTAACGTGCATCTCATAGAGTAGTCCACATCAGATGTAATGTATGGGTGCTATTTCTATAATAAAAAAGATATCTCGGGATCCTAAAAAACCCGAGTCTATCTCTGTTGCGCCTTAGACGATTCGTGCGGGTGCAACTCGTTAAATAATGCCTTATATTTTGGAAACACCGAGAGGTGACAGCGAAAAGGGAACTGTGCGAGGATAGGGTGGAGCTCCTACTGACACCCCTAAAGAAAACTAAGAAATCATGATAGTAAAGGCTTAACATGCGGATGCGTGCCAGACGCGTTTCAATCCGCCGCCGCGGGCCTTCTCAGTGCATTACCGAATGCAAAGTATAACCGGGCACCCTTTGTTTGGGGTGCCACGAAACTTTACGTACACTAGTACGTGCAGAGGAAGCTAATCTACTCAAACAGCTAGTTTGAGGAAAAGGTAAAAAGAGAACTGTACTTAATATAGTTAAGCTATCAATATAACTACAATCTTTATCTAACTATATTATACTACGTCGTCGTATGACGACAACCTGCTTACCACTCGTTGCGCGCGTCTAGCAGCGATTGGTGGTAATCATTGGTTGATATGTCTTTTAAAAACTAATCTTTGAGCAGCACGTGTATATTATCCTAAAGGGGGATCATATTCCTTCTACATTATCTATCTCGGATAGCATTGGTAGGATATTGTCATGCTAGACAATATTCCTATTGACACCGTTTAATATCAATATCATGCAACGGGCTACTTCGTTACATTATTATCCCCTTTAACAATCACACCCGTTATTTAATCGAATTGATCGGGAACAAGGTAGTCACCGTTGAATCACTCGGGGTAGTGGAGCACTTTTTGGTCAAATTTCAACTCATTTGCCACTTCATTACATGGTCTCAAAGTCCGTGCGGTGTGCTGCCGAAGCAGCCAGGAAGGCGGTTGCACGCATGCGTGAAGCCGAAGAAATTAATTCTCGAGCCTCAGCATCAGGTGATCCTTCGTCTGCTGTTTCGATTAAGCAACAGGCAGTGCCTGTTGCGACTAGTCTACGTGGTGATTCACCAGGTGCGACAGGTACATCCGCTGCGTATACAGCGGGTGATGCGACTCACAATACGGATGAGCCTTAGATTGAGCTCATCTATTCTGGCGAGTCGGACGACGTATCCGAATCGAAGGCGACACCTCACGCCTCCGGATCATCTGGGGTGGACGCCGCAAGAGCCACGTTGACTGGCTCTGGGAGACGTGGTGGCATCATGTCCAAGATCTTCGGACCGAGCGATTCTTCTAGCGAATCCTCTTCTCACGCAAGTCCATCCGACGATAGGACGCGTGGTGATGGTGGTGACGCCATTATGCATCACCACGAGAAAAGCAACTCGAGGGATCGAGCTGCTACTGGTTTCAGTGCTCATGCTGACACCACTAAACAGACCAGAGACCGCAATGTCCTGCGCCATGTTCTATTAGTGGAGTCTCATGAATGCCATCACCCAAGACGTTAGATCGAGTGGCCGGCATGACCACTGAACGGGATCAAATTCCGTTGTTTGACTGCAGGAGGATCTGTCCTTTTAATTTCAGCGCAGAAACTATTCGTGCTGAGGAAGAATTCTTCATCGACGCATTATTCAAACACCGGTGGTACAATGGCAGCCTTGTTCGAGGCGGTAAGGCCTTGGTGCAAGGATGGAATGCCCTCATACATAACATCGAGTGCATTAGCCGTGAGGCCTGGCTCGGTAAACTTGATGCAGCTTGCATCATGTTTTAGAAGCGCAACCCAGTCGAGGTGCGAAACAAGTTGCACCGGCTTTCAAGAGAGGTAGGATTACCCTGTCTCTTGTAGGGCGATTCGTGTCCATGTTTCCCGGACAGTGCGAATCATGCCCTTATGGAGGCCTACCCCCCCCCCAATGTTCCCTACTGGAGGACGCGCATCTCTTCTGAGATAGCCGAAGATATTGACAACTTGCAATCCCTGTACTCGCGTTCGGGGAGGTCGTTTTCCGACGGCCCTTCTTCGACGCAGCGGGTGGATCTCGTCTTATTGCTCGACGAGACCCAATATATTAACAATCAGCTGTGCGCGAGGCTCCCAGCTGTCCCAGGCCGGTGGATAGCTACGCCAGCGGACGAGGTAACTCGTCCGGATGCCATTCACGTCGCGGTGGCTCGAAATACACTCCACCAGAAAGCGTTGACCACCGCCAGAGTCCACCAAAGGATGGGGTGGTGGCGGAAACTCCTAATCCGTCTCGAGGGTCAGATCAGCTTGATTTCCAGGAACTGAAACGTGTAACAGAACAATTACACGATGACCTGGCTCATGAACGAACACGGCGTTATAAGCTACATGATCTTGTAAAGGATAATTACGATTCCTTAGAGCACGATCGTTCGGGTGATCGTGCCGCTTTGCGTTTGCACAACTTTAGAACGAATGTTCTACTCGTTCTCTTCGTGACGAGCTGGCCGCAGCTCGTCGAGACATCGCTTAGCTGCGTGAGCAGGTTGCTTTGCTAGTCGAACAGACTGACCCGTTGAAACGGGACCACTCGAAGGTGGTCTTGGCTCTCGACCGCGGAAGTGTTCTTCGCACCTCGGAACGGGCTCGTCCTGATAGTACAGGTGAGACCGTCGACGTAAGACTTAGGATGCGTACGTATCATATAAAGTAGTTCAATCGTGTATGCGTTGCTCATACGGTGCAACACACGAAATGGACCGATATACTTGGGCAGTAATTTACTGCTGCCCACATTTGTCATTGCGTGTTTCGGTAGGTTTACTGTAGAGTGTAAAACTGGGTCTCCTTTATCAAATAAAAGAACATTTGCTCTTCCATGTTTGTCTGTATTTATTTTCTGCTTGTCTATTGCATCTTAAATAAAGTCTCAAACGGAGCGGACAACCGCTTCGCGAGTCAGCAGAAATCCCTCTGCTTCTTAATCCTTGTCAACAGCAGTGCGCTTCGTGTGCACTGCTGAAAGAACGTTGTCTTCACCAGTGAGGGAGTGATCGTCCTCATTGTTGCGGTCATTAGGGATGCTAAATGTTTCATCATCGTCGTCATCATCATAATTGGTGTCGATCGCATGGCCTTCGGCATCCATCACGTCGACACCATTGTCAACGGATGATGAGCAGGAACCATATCGGGTTTTGTTCGAGTGAGTCCACCCCCCTTTTAAACTAGAGTCACACTCTAAGAAGGCGGGTAAACGTGGATGGCGTAGGCCATTCACGAAGAACGGTGTATGCGTTGTCGACGCGTGCACCGAGTTGTTGATGGCGAATTCCGCCATCCGCAAGAACTCAATCCAGCTCGTAAACGAGTGAACATACCCTCGAAGTATCTCTTCGAGGAAGTTGATGACGCGTTCCGTCTGACCATTTGTCTCGAGATGGTCAGAAGTCGACATCGTCAAACGTGTTCTAAGTGAACGGAACACGGATTGCCAGAACTCCGCTGTGAAGCAGGGGTCCCTATCGGACACGAGTTCACGGGGTAACCCGTGGAGTCGGGAGACAGAATATCGATGAAGACACAAGCACATCCCTGGGCTGTAATTGACTCTGGTACAGCAACAAGATGTACCATCGTGATGAACCGATCAACAAACACAAGAATACCAGAATTCTTGTGAACGTCTTTGGGAAACCCAAAGACGAAGTCCATCGATATGTACTGCCAACACTCTGCCAGAATCGGTAGAGGCTGCAAGGGTGCGCGGGATGAAGGACTAGGCTTCATCCGTTGGCAAACTTTGCAAGCGCGAATATGTTTGCGCACAAACTCATACTGGCGAATCCAGTAGAAGTCACGACTCACCATGAGGCAAGTCTTTTCCCTACCGCGATGCCCACTTGTTGGGGCATCGTGACACCTTTACATGATGCGCAATCGCAAATTATTAAAGCGGGAACGACGACACACGGTGTGTTGCCGTTGACTTCTATATAGTACAGCAGTCCATCACGAACATAATACCGTTCGGTTAAAGAGCGGTATTGAGACGACAAGCTTTTCAAAGCTTGACTGCATGGATTGGCTACATTATACATCAACCCCAGACAAGACTCAACTTCTGTGTATGCTTTTCGCACGTCGTCAAGTAGATTCAACGACGGAACACTCACTGATAGTGTCGCGACAGTGGGATCACCCCGACTGTTGGGTTGAGCAGTCGGCTCAAAATCGGGCCGACGTTAAAGAGCAATAGCGACGACATTAAGTCGCCCTGGTTTATACTATACGGAGAACTTGTAGTCCGCGAAGAAAGACAGTCACCTTGCCATTCGTTGTGAGAGGTGTAGACTGTTCATGGCCGTGCGTGACGACGCATGGTCGGTATAAACTCTGAAGGGCCTATCTCCTAAATGATAAACCCGCAACTTATCCAGTGCATATTTTATGGAAAGGAGTTCCTTGTCACGCACCTGGTAATTACGCTCAGCTGCTTGCAGCTGACGCAATTTCTAACAGACGACGCGCTCAACGCCGTCTGAGTCGTAATGCATTAACGCGCAGCCGATTGCTAAATCTCTGGCGTCCCAAACCACATGGAATGGTCTGTCCTGGTCTGCAATTGCCAACACAGGCGATTGTATCAAGTTCTTCTTGATGTCTTCAAAAGAGTGCTGACACTCAGCGCTCCATGACCACCTATTGTTTTTCTTTAGCAGACGAGAGAGATGTACAGTCATCTCGGCGTAGTTGCGCGAGTATTTGAGCACATACGTGGCTGATCCAAGGAATTCGAAGTCCCTTGACGTCGACTGGCACAGGCCAGTCGCTAATCGCCTTGATATTTTCCTGATCAGAACGTACACCGTTTTTACCCTTGATGCAGCCAAGAAGTAGCATTTCGTTCGCTACGAATATACACTTCTTGAGGTTCACGAACAACTTTATGCTCTCGCATAAGTGTAAGAACCTATCGGACGTGGATTCTACGAATCTCTACGTCCGTCTTTCCATCTATATCCCGGCTATGGACGAAGACATCGTCGAAGTTACTCGGTGCAAAATCGCGCACCGATCGCAACAGGTTCGTAACACATCTGTTAAATGTTGCAGGGGCTTTAATTAGCCCCTGTGGCATCACTAGCCACTCCCAGAGCACACCACTGAGGGTGTTCACTGCATTGTGCGTGATGTCCCGTCCACGCATGAGGATCTGATAGAATCCATCCATCAGATCCATGGATGAAAAGATGGTACTTTTTGCCATACCATCTAAGATGACACCCTTTCTCGGTATTAGCATTTGAACCAGTACCGTTGCAGCGTTCAATTTGTTGAACGCGTGCACTATCCGCCATCCGCCTGTAGCCTTTCGCACACAGAAGGTCGGAGCGCTGTGTAGGGATGTTGATTTCCTCACATGACCAGCCGTAATCGATCGGCAAAGAATTTGTCGATCGCTGTGACCTGTTCATGAGGCAGTGGCCACTGCTTCATGACACAGTACTTCGAACAGAGACTCAGCTCGATCTCATGACGAGTGCCTTTGTCCTGAGGCTGCACGGATTTAGGGAAAACATCCCTGAATTCCACCTAATCCTCATACAAAGGATTTGTCATTAAAAAATCCCAAGATTAAGACGTTTATCTATCAATCCGGGTCTTCTCATCGAGGAAACTCTCGTCCATCGATGAGCTACTGAGAACCCGTTCATTCTCAGCAAACACTTGTGCCGACTGAACATCGGCGACATACTCGTCCTCTGTGACGAGTACGCATATCTGCTGGATCTTGTCATTACGCAGATCTCACAAAAATATTTTAGATTCTAGCGCTGGCAACTTGACTACCTCCGAAGCTGACTTCGGAGGTGTAACCAGATCAAGTATATAAGCGCCTACACCTGATCCGTCATTCACCAATACATTCACTGTGTCGGTGATTTCCGGTGAGAACACATCCGCAGGTGGTTGGGGATCCACACCCTCAACGTTACTCTCTCGGGAGTTATCACTCTCAGGAACGCTGGAACTTTCTTTCAATGTGTGTACTGACTGTGGGTGCACTACTACAGTCACGTCCTCTTCGATAGACTGTCTTTCAGTCGATCAGGTTTGCTCTAAGATCGACTATCTGATAATTGATCTCGCTTTAACGTGTTGTTCATTTTGAACAACACTCATCTCTCTTCTTGGGTGCACCCTGCTTGATGTGCATCCATGTTCCAGTCTACTCGATCTCTTCGAGTGGTGAACCTTCAGCGCAGCCTGTGTCTCTACACAGGTGCCGAAAGCTGTTTCCACAGTGTAGTAACCTTCTAAACTGTGATCTTTTCAAGTCGTGCTAATAATCGTACCAAAAGTACACAAGGAGGCCATCGCACTCACTCGTAGTACATCCACACGCTTGTGGAAGCTCCAAGACGTTCATTAGACGGCCATCTGATGAACAGGCGGCATGTATCTTCACAAATCGATGCTGCCAGCTGACCCATGGATGATACTTTCTAAGACATGGCAGACCGAGGATGACATCTAATTTGTCGTCCAGATCCATTTCGATGAAGTCATTATCGTCCTGCTTTCCTTCTATCGTGTAGTGGATTCCCACTACACGTTTGTTTACTGTTACGGATGCGCCTGTAGCAAGACACACCGTCATTCTCGTTGGAGGGAACTTTCGCTCAGCATAGATGAGCCTATTATACGTTAGCGACTGGCGGCGAATAAAATTGTTCGACGCCTCACAGTCAAATAGGGCGCGAACTGACATTCCACTTGTCACTTCGATCTTCAAAGTGATGAGGGACATCTATCTCATCACTAGGGGCAGTAACACACAGAGACTGCGTGTTGGGAGCAATCTTCTTCAAGAGTCCTGCAAATTCTTATGACGTTGCAGGATCAGTAGGGGGCTCCGCCCCTACTGACCCTGACCGTTTTTTGGCGGTCCGACTTACTGTCGCGGCTTAGCGACATGTTTGGACTTACGCCTTGGACCTTTCCTTGGCCACGGTGGTCATCTTGTCATGTCTGTGGACGCGATGCGGTACTTGGGACACTGCTCATGAGCGTAGTGTACAATCTTCTGACAGCGATGGCATCTTGCCGTATGCTTGTGACTCATAGAGCGAGGTTTCTCGCTCTCGATTTGACAGAGGATCCATTGGTTCGGGACCTCCTGTTTCCCGTCGTCTCGTCGGACGATAGTTTGACGAGTTAACCTGAGACTGGCTCAGGCTGAAGTCTTTTTGTTCCGCATACGCTATCGTTTTTTTCAGCGTATGGAAGTCCTCTCGGAACACGTAGGTCTTCACCGGCCCATCTAAATATCCGTAGATGAAAACGTTGATGAGTTTGTGCTCATCAACAGGGTTCTCCGTAACTCTACTCGCAACGTAGCGTAGGTGCTGTGCGTAAGCGTGCACGTCACGCTTACCTTGCTTTAGCCTCAAGAGTGCAGAGCGTGCTCTGTACTCGGCTCTCGGCAGCTCAAACATCTCTTTAAGCCGAGACTTTAAGATCTATAACGACTCAAACACGTTTGGGTCGTGAAGCTTGAGCCCTAAGGCCCAAGTCTTTGCTCGTCCCGTCGAATTTGACAAGGCGAAGGTGACTTGCATCTCGTCATTCTCGATGTGACGGGACCTGATGGTGTCGTCTAACTCGATGGAACACCTCAAAAAGGGAATCTTCATCGGTTCCCTTGTACCTTGAGATATCAATCTTCAAGGTTTCGGGTCGACGCATGTGCGTCGGTCCGCCCATCGACTGATGAGAGCCTTGCTGCTGTAGCAAGGCTATCTTCTGTCGCTCGACGGCAAGTTCCTCTTGTAGGAACTTGTTGATAGCAGCACGTTGCTGGTCTCTGCTTAGAGACTCCAACATACCACTGATGGCGGGTTCGCCCATGAGCACACTTATGCGGCCGACCTTCTCCCATTCCGGGTCACTCAGATGGGAGAAGCCTTCATACGTGACGTGAAATATGTCGTCTTCTGCGTCCAAAATGTTCATGTTGGACGAACACTAAGTAGTCCTTGGACAGACTACACAGTGCTACCAGATGCGACATGGCCCTCTTTGCTTGACTGCCACGAAACTTTACGTACAATCGTACGTGCAGAGGAAGCTTGTAACGGGGTTGCACGAAATTATGGCACTTTGTACCAGAGGTGTTACACACCTGAGGGTACCCCTTTGTGCAGGTGATATAGAATATCTTATTGGTTTGTAGGGGCTGACGAGTGTCAGCCATTAGGTACGAAATCTTTGAGTAGGATTAAGATATTCTATAGGCTTTAACAACAAAATAAAATCAGTTCCCATTTTGATCTGAAGGGCACGTGGCTTGCGAGCCGTCTTGATCGTTGATCACTGATCACTAAGAGCTAGCAACACCTCCTTGAGGTAGCTACTCTTGAGCACTGAGTGCTGTCGATTCACTGAATCGTTAGGTCCCCTGGAACAGGGATCTGAAGCTGTAAAGCTTGTTGAATCGTAAAGTCCTTAGTTCTTTGGAACTAAGTTGCTCGTAGAGCGTTAAATCTTCCTCTGACTTAAGGAGCTGTGTAGCTCCGCTACACTTGGTAGCACTCGCAGTCATTCTACGCCTGAGTCTTTGAGACTGAACCTCTGTGAGGATGGAAAACCCCACTCCCCTATCTGAGGCCCAAAAGGTCGCGCTTGATAAGCTGACCGCATCTTCGGGTCTAGAGTACGTGGAGTTCCTTATTTCACAAGGTCCTGAAGTGCTTAACGCACGTGTTGAAAGCTTCGTGCAGTATGAAGCGGCCCTTTTAGGGCAGGTCCAAGACCAAGTAGCGTCGGCTATGCCTACACGCTATGTGTCTGTACCAGACGAAGAGGCTAGGCTTCGTCCACTTAGAGTGGAAGTGAAAAACTACTCCGGTAAGGAGGGTGATAATCTCACCCTCTGGATCCGTGAGACGAGATGGCCACGAGATCAGGCCTGATCACGCTTGACCACTAACAGGTCTCGCTGTCTATCTCGAAGCTCGCTGGAAGAACTAGAGAATGGGCCTTGACGTGCAGCACGTCGGTGGACATAGCGTTTCCCACATGGGAGTCGCTCGAGTGACAATTGGTACAGGTGTTCTCACCACCTAACCAGGCTTACCGCGTGCATTCATGCTTTCTTTCTACCCACCAGGGTAAGAAAGAATTATCGGACTGTGTCCAAGAGCTGCGAACGCTCATGGCTGCAATGCAGTCTGACCCTCTGCCTTAGGCAGTCCATGTGACTATCTTCATGGAAGGTCTACGTACTGGCATTGTCAGAACCGAGGTTTTTTTTGGGTTCACTTCTCTACTTTTGAAGAGGCTGTGATGATTGCTCTTAGTGCTGAGCATAACTTCAAGTCGGCCAGACTAGGTTGGAATGGGTAAAATCCTCGCTCTGTAGGAGCAAACTCTTCGGGTACCACTACCTATAATAGTCCGGAACCGATGGATCTCAGCTATGCTGAAGATGAAGGTGAAGCTGAGCTTCAAGCCGCTGAGCAGCAACACGTCGTACGACGATGTTTTACGTGCGGAAGCACTAATCACTTGCGGCATGATTGTCCTTTGCGTAAGCAACGCCAGGCTACAAAACAAACTCGACCCCGAGTCAGGAGTCTGGTATGGCACGGGGAAATGCCGACACCCAGTAGGCGCGGGGCGCCCTACTGGGGAAGAACTAGGTTCTGTTACACCTTTAGAAGGTAAAGGAGCTTAGTCCCAAAGAGTACCATACCTACGGGTATGGTGTGTGGATACGAGTATGTCTTGTTGGTCGCCGAGGCGAAAATTAAGGGCTTTGAGAAGCCTTGGTCGATATTGATCGATTCTGGAGCGTCTTGCAATTATGCTCAACGCCATTCCCTTGAGGGAAGTCAGCGTAATGCTGAGGCGCTTACAGCTCATGAGGGTGATTCTATCACGATACGTTAAGCGACTGGAAGTCGCGTTACTGTGCCTAAAGTTTCATTGAACTTAGGTATAAAGTTTTTAGACTTTGACAGTATTGAGCGCTGTCTTGGCCTAAATTTGGACTCGAGATATGATCTCATCCTAGGTATGGCTTGGCTTGAACGCCATGAGCCATGGATTGATTGGAGGTCTAAGACCTTAGGCGCTACGCGCAATGTTCCTAGCGAAGTTTTGGAGAGTCATGAACCCACCTTCGCTAGGCAACAGAAGCGCTATTGGCGCAAGACTTTGACCGAAGATGTTAATTTGCTGGATATTGGAATGTCTGAGTTATCTAAATCCAATGTTACAAACATAAGTTTCGAGCCTAGCTTGTCTAAAATTAGTGAAACGGCACGTACTTCGTTGAGTGTTACTCGTTGTGATAATGAGTCACTGTATGCTGAAAGCATGGTTGGCCTAGGGCCGAGTGATCAAGGATGTGATTCCTTTGATGTGTGTGTGGTGCCACGAGTGCGGTCAGACGTGAGGGCACCACACCTAATGTCGGTAACGACATTGTTGGCGAGACGCCGTTAAATTTAGGGCTAGACCCGCATAATACACGTGGAGTGGCACGTTTAAATCCACTAGGTGAAGTTTTAGAGTTATGTAACACTTCACCGGATGTCGGTCAAGACATTAGCTCTCGTATAGAGCGTACTATGGTTGGTAGTAACCATGGGGACAGTATTGTCCCGACCCCTAAGGGGTGTAAGGTCTCGAAGAGACGATCAAGACGCCGGGTAGCAACTGTAAAGTGCCAGGCGTCCACACAGTCACATATTGATTATAGTAATACACTAAATACACTTGTTAATGGAGTGACTGGTCAGGTTGATGGCAGTGTTTGACTTGAAACCCTTCCATCTTTGGACACTCTTTGTGAGCTAGACGAAATGTCTGATGGCGAGTTAAGCCAGGCCTTGAAGGCAGGAGATTTATCCGAGTTAGCGGTCATTAGACCTGATACTGAGTTAAATTCTTCCTCGTTAATGGATGAGTCTGTCCTAGAGGATACAAAGGCGGAACTAAGTGCACGAAGTAGATCTTCGATCCTTTAAGATCCTTTGAATCCGTTCTATCCTTTAGGAATTTCAAGATGTGGTGTGTCGCAACCCACCTTCTGCCTACCTCCCGATAGAGACGTACGTCATAAAATTGACTTAGTTCCTGGAACTAAATACTGCGTAACACGGCAGTGGCCTTTGCCTAGAGAACGATGTGACGTCATTGACGATTTCTTTCGTGCTAAGCACGCGTCTGGAATGTTCGTGAGAGTAAATCTCCTCATTCAACACCGACATTTTGTGTCAAAAAGCCAAATGGCAAGTGGCGTATTGTGCATGCTTATAATAAGATTAATGCAGCCACTATACCGGCGCAGACGCCTATTTCTAGAAAGGATGTTCTCCAGAACAATATGGTAAGATGTACATTGTACAGTGCACTCGACTTAGTCGATATTGTTATTAACTGCTCATGCGAGCAAGTGATACTCCGCTAACAACACTGAGTACTACGAGCGGTATGCTCTGGGAGTGGCTCGTTATGCCACAAGGGCTATCTAACGCCCCGGCTACGTTTAACCGGCTGGTAACGCAACTATTCAGACCTCATCGAGGCTATGCACAAACATATTTTGATGACATTTTTGTTCATAGTCGTGCAATGAATGGGCGATCAGATGTGGATAACCACATTGATCAGTTACGAGCGGTGCTCGAGTGCATGCGGACGAATAAGTTGTTTGCTAACGCATCTAAGTGCATCTTTGGTGCAGAAGAGATTCCCTTTCTAGGGTGCTTCATTGGGAAGCGAGGCCTTCAAACGGATTCCGCTAAGGTAAAGCCATAGTCGATTGGCCGGTTCCCAAGAACCGAAAGGACTTGCGTAAGTGGCTTGGCCTTGCCAATTACTTGCATAAGTACAGTGCGAATTACGCAGATATGGCTTGACCATTGTCCAATCTCCTTAAAAAGGATGTGTATTGGTAATGGGGTAACACCGAACATAATGCTTTTGAAGCAGTTAAGGATAGTCTCCTTCATGCGCCAAAATTGGCTTTACCCAATCCTGATCGGCCTTTCAGTGTCGTCTGTGACGCATCTGACTTCGCCATAGGCAGTCCTCTGTTACAAACAGATGTCGATGGACACGAACGCGTCATCGTATTTGAGTCTCGGCAGCTGAAAGCTGCTGAAAAGAAATATCCAGTTCATGACAAAGAGCTACTTGCTATGAAGTACGCTCTTGTCAAATTCAGAGTACATCTGCTTGGCTCAAAGCCGTTTGTGATCTATGCAGATCATGCGTCATTACGCACTGCGACAAAGTCGCCTCATCTCTCACAGAAAATGGCTCGTTGGCTTTCCTTCTTTGCCGAATATAACTTCGCGGTAAAATACAAGCCAGGTAAGCAAAATTATTTGGCTGATGCGCTATCGCGTCGACCTGATTATGAGCTTGCTCATGTTACGACTCTGTCGTCGTCAGTCACTGACTTAATCCGTGTGGCATATGCCAAGGATGATCAGTGTGTAGCTTTGCTACGTGCTCTTGGGAGCGATGAGTATAAAGACTCGGACATAGAATTGTCGGCACGTATACGCGCGAGGCTACATCGATATTCCATCGATAATGGCATGTTTTGCTATCGCACGGATATTGAGGATAACCCTCGTATCGCTGTACCTCATGATGAGGAATTAAAGTATCGAATCCTCTATGAGGCACATGATACTGCTTTAAGTGGTCGTCTCGGTCGTGAGAAGACTTATAGCTCAAGAAGCCAAAGTTATTGGTGGCCCAAACTTTATAAGTGGGTGAGCACCTATGAGCGTACGTGCGAAACGTGTCAACGGGTTAAACCCTCAGCACATGCGGCGGCGCCCCTGGCTAGTTTGTCAGTACCCACTAGTTGTTGGGAGTCCATGAGTATGGATTTTATGTTTGGCCTACCGAAGATTTGTAAGGAAACACTGGTATTGTGGTCTTTGTTGACCGTTTGAGCAAGATGGCTCACTTAGCGGCTGTTCTGGATACCATCGATGCTGAAGGTACAGCAAAGCTGTTTATCGACCGTGTGTTTCTCCAACAAGGCTTGCCTGTGGCAATTGTCTCTGATAGAGACCCCCGCTTTACTGAAAAGTTCTGGAAGTCTATCTTCAAGGTGCTGGGCACTCGGTTGGACATGTCCACAACGGATCATCCGCAGACCGACGGTCAAACTGAGCGTGTTAAACGCGTCATCAACGACATTTTGCGCAGTGTTTGTGCTGATACGCCTAGGCGTTGGAGCTCAATGCTCCGTGTTGTTGAGCTTGCGTTGAATAACGCTGTGCATGTCTCAACAGTCTTTACTCTGTTCTATATAAATGGTCTCACTCACCCTCGCGTCCCGTTAACGCTATCACTACGTGATTCAGGGCTTGGTGGGGGAGAGGTTGCCGATCGGCTTGCTGATATCAGCCCTGCTACTGTTCAAAAACAGGTAGGCGAGTCTCTCGCAACGCGATTAAATGTCTTCAGACATGTGCGTGACGCAATGGCTGATAGCCAAGATCAACAAATACAACAAGCTGATGCCAAAGGCAGAAAATGTATTGAACGTTATGAGGTCGGAGACCAAGTATTACTCAATGCTAAAAATCTACCTACAAATGTAGTGTCTGCGGTCTTTAAGACAAAGTTGCGTCCACGCTTTATTGGACCGTTTACGGTCACTGCCAAGAAGGGACTTGCGTATACGCTAAACCTTCCGCGCAAATTGCGCACACATCCAGTGTTCTACGTAGGCTTACTTAAGCCGTACCGGGATCCTTCCCATGGAGGCGCTTGCGCCGACGACAAGGGCACTGCCCCGGATTGCTGCAGGCGAATCAGCAAGTCCAACTGAGCCTCGCTCTGAGTTTGAGCTTGCTCCATCGCCTGAAGGCGGCTTTGCATCGCATCCATCATGCACTGGGACTTACCCAAGGCCTCTTGAAGACCCGATACTTCAAGAACCAATTTCTCGTGGGCCTCCACCGGTACACCGGCCGCCACCGACTTTGCTCGATGAGCATGGGTGTCGTCAATTTCATGTCGAGAGACTACTGAAACGACGTCGTCGTCTAGGCCAATACCAGTACCTGGTAAAGTGGCGAGGTTACCCTGAGTCTGAAAACTCATGGGAGTTTGAGACCCCTTTGGCAGGACTGCCCTTATGCTTTGGATGCTTTTGAGTATCGTGGCCATGGTCATCTCGAGACCGAGGCCGTTCCCCACCACTAGTGGTGCGGGTTGGCGAATTTGTGGCCACAAAATGACCAGCACTCGCGGCTATCTTAGTAGCCGAAGCATAGCGCGTGCGCTTGCGCAATTGGCCTTTGGCCTTAATCTTGGCATAATCATACCGAAGCTTGCGTTCTAGACGCACATCAGCCGCATGGGCACTAGCCCTTAGAGCAAACATGTTGCTGAGGCGACGGACATAGTGCACCCAGTGAACGAAGGCATCGTCCTCTTCGCTCACTGTTTAGCCTGCGAACAAGAGAATGGGCACACCCTTGATTGGTGGAACCGGTGCACCACGTGCTTGCATATCAAGGCGTGCCTTGTATTGACTTTGAGTCGTTAGGTGCGGCTCCAGGTACCTCTCACGAAGTGCCTGGCAGATCACCACCTCCTCAGGAGGCTTAGGCTCATGACCAATGACCCACGTTGCCAATGTTTGGCCGGCCGCTTGAAGTAGACGTTCCTCCACACTGGGTGGAGTAAACACATAGTCACGCTGGCGCTCAAGGGTTGCAACCATTTGTACATGACGCTGAGCGTTTTCTTCTTGTTGGACAAGCAAATGTTGTCGCTCATCGAGCGGGCTCGTGGTGATAGTTTCATCAGAACCAGCATGCATGCTGCGCTGGTGGCGCGCTAGCACCTTCACGTTCAGCGAACGGATTTGGGGTGTTCAAAGGTTGTGCCACAGGCATCAGTGAGCCGGAGATTGTCCCTGTATCACCGCGGACACTGGTATCGCTACCATAGTCCACCTCCTCCTCTATTCCGAGTTAGTCACACAGATCCTTTGACTCGTTTGGTGGTGAGGACATCGTGCTTGAGCGTACGTTACCGTGAGGTTCACCGCACGCGCACTGTTCTCGCTGAGAACACACGTTCGATTGACGTTTTGGCAAGCGTCCGTCTGGTGGGGGAGGGTGTAACGGGGTCGCACGAAATTATGGCACTTTGTACCAGAGGTGTTACACACCTGAGGGTACCCCTTTGTGAAGGTGATATAGAATATCTTATTGGTTTGTAGGGGCTGACGAGTATCAGCCATTAGGCACGAAAGATCTTTGAGTAGGATTAAGATATTCTATAGGCTTTAACAACAAAATAAAAATCAGTTCCCATTTTGATCTGAAGGGCACGTGGCTTGCGAGCCGTCTTGATCGTTGATCACTGATCACTAAGAGCTAGCAACACCTCCTTGAGGTAGCTACTCTTGAGCACTGAGTGCTGTCGATTCACTAAATCGTTAGGTCCCCTGGAACAGGGATCTGAAGCTGTAAAGCTTGTTGAATCGTAAAGTCCTTAGTTCTTTGGAACTAAGTTGCTCGTAGAGCGTTAAGTCTTCCTCTGACTTATGGAGCTGTGCAGCTCCGCTACAAAGCTAATCTACTCAAACAGCTAGTTTGAGGAAAAGGTAAAAAGAGAACTGTACTTAATATCGTTAAGTTATCAATATAACTACAATCTTTATCTAACTATATTACACTACGCCGTCGTATGACGACAACCTGCTCACCACTCGTTGCGCGCGTCTAGCAGCGATTGGTGGTAATCATTGGTTGATATGTCTTTTAAAAACTAATCTTTGAGCAGCACGTGTATATTATCCTAAAGGGGGATCATATTCCTTCTACATTATCTATCTCGGATAGCATTGGTAGGATATTGTCATGCAAGACAACATCCCTTTTGACACCGTTTGGTATCAATATCATATAACGGGCTTCCTAGTTACTGTTATCGTCGACTGGGCCGCTAGAGCTGGCCGATATCATAGCTTATATCAGCCAATCGGTGAGTGTTTCTAAATATTACTCCTTATGGTAATAGTTTAAGAACATTATTAACCGTTATGGGTATTTTTAACTAGCAAGTATCAAGGGTTAGTTACAATAAACAGGCCCAAACCGCTGCAATTAATCAGACAAGCAATTGAAGCTATTAGGTCCAGGTGCAGAGTATATCGCAATGCAGGTGTAAACCATCTCTTTGTTAGCAGAAGGTCATGTGGTAGTTTATTTGCGGTAGCACCGATGTGCCAGACCTGATGTTGTCATGGGTTGCAGCTGACGCTAGTGTTAACGCTTCTGTAACTGTAACGTCCAGATACACTGAAAATATACGACAACCACCAAGAAGGCTAGCAGTCCCGTAGGACATTAGGGACGGAATGCGGTCACGTAGCCAGCGTTACAGTGTGAGCCAATAAAACTAAAAAAGGGGTAGCCTATATTTATCTTTTTTCTAACGTTCGTCCAGCGATTTAGAAATGCACAGGGCCTCGTTTTATAGCTTTTTGCGAATGCTACATCTCTCTCTCTCGCTAAAAATCCAAGGTTACCAATAGCGCGGTACTTGATCCAGCGGTTGTCCACTCAGAGTCTTGTGCATTTTCATCTGTTACAAACCGACACAAAAAACCTGTGACAACCCTCAGCAGTTCTTGAACCAACACTAAGATGTTTCCCAAATTAAACTACACACAAAAGCTGCGCCACCACATCGGAGAGCTCCTCCGTCACGATATCGCCAAGCGCTCACAATCCGTGGACGAATATGCGCTGCGTCATCGTGTCAATGACTACTACTTGCCTATGTTCTGCTGGACAATTGAGGTCGTGGAGGCTGTGCAGAAACGACTGGGCGAGGCCAAACGCTGTGTCTGCATCGGTCTGAGCTGTCCACAAGGCGGCGGAAAGACTACAATGTCCATGTACATGCAAAAAGCACTGGCAGTTGTAGGCATAAACTGTGCTGTCATGTCGCTGGACGATGTGTACTGGAAGCACGAGGACCAGGTGGCTCTTGCGAAAGCCAATCCAGCCAATCCGCTGCTTCAGGTGCTTCATCACGTGGCTGGTGTAGGAGATTTGATGATTCACAGACTAATGAAGTACTGCAGTATCGCGGCAATCCAGGCACGATGGACGTGCCATTACTGATGGACATCATTCGGCAGTGCCAGACCTCCGATAGCGAGGTGGTGCTACCTCGCTATGACAAGTCAAAGCATAACGGCCAGGGCGATCGTGCTCCTCGTTCCGAGTGGGATCGCAAGCAATGTGAGGAGCAGCAGGACGTACAGAGTACTTTGTGTTCGGTAGGTTTAGACTTACGAGCGCTGTATTTTATCGCTGCAGGTCCGTTGGACGTGCTGCTGATTGAAGGCTGGTGCATGGGTTTTCAAGCAATCGACGACTCGAGCGTCAAGATGAGGTACAGGCCTCTCGAAGCTGCAGACGTAGCCTCGATCGTCCGCTTTGTATAGAATCATGTTGAATGACACTTGTGTTGTTTCAGTGACCACCTGAAGGTAGTGAATGACGAGTTGCGCGCCTTTCAGGAAATGTACGCGGAACTAGACAGTCTCATCGTGATCAAGATTGACGACCTCGACTGGGTCTACGAGTACGTTCGTATCGCTTTCTTCTCGGTAGTTTAGTTCGATACAGATGCCGATTGTTTACTATTTTACGTATTGAATAGATGGCGCGAGCAGCCGGAACAGCTTCTGCGTCAAGCGAACAGACCAGCCATGACCTCCGAAGAAGTGCGCGACTTTGTGGATCGCTTCATGCCAGCATACGAAACGTACTTGCGGGGGCTTTACACCGACCCGAAAGACTCGTCGTCTTCTTTAGCTACAATACCACGACTTGTTTTCTCCATCACAGCGGCCCGGGAGCCAGTGGGAAAGCCAATGGAGTTCAACTTTACATCCAAGGCGTTACAGGAGGGTTGATTACCGCATCGCTGAACCCGTAGATGGCATTCGATTCCCACAAAACGTGAGTTCGTTCATCGTGGATGCTTTTAGGACCTCATTCTTCATAGTACGCTCTAATTTACAGCCGTTGTTTCTACCCACCCATAAATACAGTGGAAAAAAGAAGCAGCTCTATTCCAGAAAAAGCCCGACCTTGAAGCCTGTCTGTCAGATTCATTCCTGCCATTCATTGTCTACCTACTGCACAGTAGCTAGCGCTCGACCACTCGGGCTCATGGAGCGGTACCAGAAGCTCGAGAAGATTGGCGAAGGCACTTATGGCGTCGTGTACAAGGCCAAAGACCGCGTCACGGGTGAAGTGATAGCGCTCAAGAAGATCCGATTGGAAGCCGAGGACGAAGGCATTCCCAGCACTGCCATTCGCGAGATTTCGCTGCTCAAGGAGCTGCAGCACTGCAACATTGTGCGCTTGTACAATATTGTACATACAGAGCGGAAACTTACGCTCGTGTTCGAGTACTTGGACCAAGATTTGAAAAAGTACTTGGACGTGTGCGAGAAGGGTCTGGAGAAGCCGATTCTCAAGTCATTTTTGTACCAGCTACTGCGTGGTATTGCCTATTGCCACCAACACCGAGTCCTGCATCGGTAGGTGGTGTATGAATTATATGTACATTTCTTCCATCAGAATTTTGGTAGAATGGAAATACTGATTAGGATGCGTGCCCACTGCATTTTTGTGTCATGTGTCCCCAGCGATCTGAAACCACAGAACTTGCTGATCAATCGCGAAGGAGAACTGAAGCTGGGTGATTTTGGTCTGGCACGGGCATTTGGCATTCCAGTGAGAAGTTACACGCACGAAGTCGTGACGCTTTGGTACCGTGCACCTGATGTGCTCATGGGATCACGGTCCGTTTTTTCTATCTGCGTTGTTCAGCTGCAGACACAATAGGCATTTCTTCCTGTGTTGTGGTTGGGCGCTGATGATTGACGCTTGTTCGTCTTGACTGACAGGAAATACTCGACGCCGGTTGACATTTGGAGTGTGGGCTGCATCTTTGCCGAGATGGCCAACGGTGGCCCGCTATTCGCAGGCACATCGGAAGCTGACCAGCTTGATCGCATCTTTCGCCTGATGGGCACGCCTACTGTTGAGATCTATCCAGCCATTGTGGACCTCCCGGACTATCGGGTGAGAACAGACTGGGCATCTTTGCGCCACCATGTGTCTAACCGCGTTGTACTGATGTGTCGACAGCGAGATTTTCCTGTGTATCCTACACCGAACAGCTTGGCTCACCTCGTGCCTACACTGGACGAGGACGGTGTGGATCTGCTCGAACAGATGCTGCAGTACGATCCAGCAAAGCGCATCACTGCGGCTGATGCTATGCTCCACCCATATTTTAGCGACTTGTCTCCAGCGCTTACTGAGAATCGATAAGGCGGGGTTTGCGAGCCATATCTGGTGCAAGAACGAATAGTGCAAAACACGAGGAAGCTGGTCAATGAGCAGCATCTTCCTACAGAATGTGTGGATGAATCTATGTAGTAGTTTCTACCTGTATTGCTGTGTCCATGCTTTGATGTGTTTTTTTGGTTGCAGGAGTTGCCAATGTCCTCAATTCGTGGATCAGTATGCTATGAGTGTGTCAAGAAGGGTAACGACGTGCCATCATCACTTGGACAGCTCAAAACTCCCAGCTCTGTGCAGCAGCACGAAGTTCAGGGCTCGGCGAAAGGCTGGCTTTCGACTTCTCTCCATCGGTGATTGGCAAGTTGCACAACGGTGTAACATGTTTCCATGTCTTTTCCACAAACTTGCTCTTGGAAACCTGACAAACGTTGTGCAAATGGAAATATGTGCACTTATTTTGTTCTGCAAGATGCTGCTGCCCATACGGCGCAGAATGATACAGATTACGCTGTGAAGCTAGAAGACTGTTTAGTCGGTTCCAATGTCAACTGGCAGAAGCGTCCAGTGCTTCTGCCAGTTGACATTGGAACCGACTAAACAATGCTGCATGCTTGTTGCGGCGCTACAAATTTGACACATGGTTGTTTGGAATGTTCGTTCCATGTCTTCCACTTCATATCGCTAGCTATGCAATTTTTAACGACAAGTTGTATCGACATTGCGAACATTGCAATGTCGATACACAGCTTGGACAAACCTCTTCCACGCTCAATAGACCAAAGCTGTGTTACAGTTAACGCAACGAGTTGCGCAGTTAGAAAAACGACTGTAGAGCTCATCACTCGGAAGCGTGGGGCAACCTTGAAAATCGCACACTCATTAAACTAAGCGCCAGCCGACTTACTCTCTGATACCTTGTAAAACTGCAGCCCATTTCTGCCTCAAAGCGCTTACTAAAACACGTCACGATCATCGATTATAGCACGCTCTACAGCATCAGGTTCGTGCAGGTCATGCATTAGCCGATCTCTCGGTCGTTTTGTCAACCGGCCACCCGTAACCCGACAATTACACGTGGCAATGCTACACGGAGGGTACAGATGAAGCAAGCGCGTGCGCATAGCGTTCATACGTCACTGACTCTTATCTGGCGTTAGTCTGTCCTGACGCCAATTTGACGATTCCAGCGCGTCGTTTCACGCACCTTATTTCGCCAGCCCCGTTTGCTGCTTCGCGCGATGTTGAATGACCAAGTCGAGGTTGACTGTCCACCTACAGCAGTTACATCTGCGACGTTGCACAACCGAACGAGATGTTGTGCCGGTGTTCAGATCGCTCTTTGTCCTTCTTGCAAGTCATTTGAACTCCTGGCTGGACGTAGTACTCATGTAGCATTCGACTATAACTCAATGTACGATACCAACGTTGTAGACGTGAGTGCTACGTTAGAAGCTTACCAATTGACGTCGATTGATAAGCACCTCGTGTGACACGACTAATTCTTCGACACGACAGTTTTGCCCCATTCTTCGACGTGCTTCACACCGAAGCCAAACAGCTGACAGTTACGTGTGTTAAGTAGGACAAAGGTTGCCTAAGCAGGTGCTCGCACTGACAAAGACCATAGCGCAGATGCTCGTCGAACTCGTTGCAGCAAGTTGTTGTGCCCTCCTGTCAATAAATGGGGGCTCTGTCTCCGTCGCGTAGGGCCCTGTCTCGTCGCGCTAGCGGTTGCACCATTACGAGAGACAAGAGCTGCTGCTACTGCTGCCGCCCCAATATCCCGATCGACAAAACTGCCGCCTTTCTTCTCCTCTCGTGCTCTACACATTGCCACGTCCATTCTACGATCAGTCGGTAGCACACTTGACTTGCGTCCCCCACGTGTTTACTTCATCTTTGCTCTCCGTGCTGACAGTTTAGTGTCAAATGAAGGCCTTTTCGCACGTAGAAATGACACACAGATGAGCGGCACCTTCAGCGCGCCAAGGGGGCCAAGTTCCTCACCGACCGTATCGAGCTTAAACTGATGTTGAAGTCGATGGAAGCACTTGTCCTACCAACAGCTCACGAGCCAGCAGTCGTTAACGTACTTCAGCACAAAAATGCACCCAATCAGAGAGAGACATTCGACTTTAACGTCGAGAAAACGATTACGGCATCACTTCGAGAAAGCGCCATGCAGGACGCGCTGCTCGCGATTCTCCGTGGAATCCGCAATGGCTCTTTCTACGGCACAAAAGTGCGCGCGCCACACGGTAGGTCCATGCCCTGCTTGTCCGCATTGTTCCCTTCTCTTTGGCCCCCTCTACTCAAGCACCACTTGACGCGACCTCGTTTCGTACTTAATCAGCGCTCGTGATGATCTTGCTCTTCCAAAACGGATCCATCCGCCAAAAGCTCCGTGGCATTATCCGCTTAACCTTTGAACACACGAAGAATCTCGCACTTTTCGTGGGCGTATACAAATCGATGCTGGTGATTCTACGCACTCTTGAGCAGCATGCACGAGGACATAATGGAACCACGAATGTGGGGAAGCCTGGCGTTCCGTGGCACGCGGCTGTGGCCGGCGGCATTGGCGGCTACTTGGTCTGGGGTCGCTACTCGGGCGTGAACTTCCAGATCGTCATGTACTTGATGTCGCGCGTGCTCATCAGCTTGGTGCGCTTGCTTGCGGCCAAGGGCTACCAACCCTTTGTGCAGTGTCGTTTCAAGCAGGCGTACCCGGTGCTCGCGACCGTCGTCTGGGCGAGCGTGATGTGGCTCTACGAGAGCGAGCCGCAAACTCTGCACCCGTCCTTGCTCAAGAGCATGCAGTTCCTCTATGATGAATCCTGTCGCTGGGATAACGGCGTCGTGGACTTCCTCCCCTCAGCAGCGACCACTGCTGTCTGTTTGCTGACATGGCTGCAGGTCTAGAAGCAGGATTTGCGACGTGCAAATCGTCTTTGCGCTGCGACGATTGTAGCAAAACGATACAGGGATGTCCCATCCCGGAAAAAGAAATCCAGCCGCTACTTTGCAAGAACACTCTACCCCTGTGTTACATTTGTATGGAATGGCGCGCGTGTGTGAGGTGCGTTCATTAGTCGCAGCTCTAGAGCGACTATCTTGCTGTCTTGGATTATCTTGCTGTCCCGGATGATCTTGACTCGATCTTTCGTGCGGGATGGATGGACATGTGTCAGCAACAGACGTCAGTCGCGTCTCAAACTTCTGCGGGTAAAAACAGGCGATAAGCGACAAACAACTTGTCGCAGCAGAAGGATGTCTACTCGAAGTGACACAAAACGCCCTGTTCTGGCCATTCGGCGACACGCCCGAATTGTATCAGTTGGAGTGAGTACAGTACATTTGTGTTCCGACTCTCTGCCTGCAACGAAGAGACTACACTCTGTTAACTGCTGTTTAAACACCAGCAACAACGATACAACTCCAGTAACCTCTCGTGCCAGTAGTAGTAGTAGTACGTGTGCTCCCTTCTACCTCTGCGATCCAATAAAATCCAAAACCGAGTCCATCTCCAATCGACTTTCGTCGTCATCCTCCTTTCAAAACGCATGCTCTGTCATATCTGGTACAACCGACCGCACACCATGGACTCCCTGGCGCAAAAGCGCAGCAGCTTTTCCGCCATGCGACGGCGAAAACGTCAGTTTTTGTTCCGCCCTGCAGCAACCCACTCGGGCCTTTACTTACTGGCCTCGCAGCAGTAACAAACGCCTGAAGTCAGAGCCCGGAAAGTCTCCCGTTTTAATTTTATCGTCGACATATCGCAGACCCGGGACGGCCCGTGGTCGTCTGATCTCGTTTTTGTTCGCGGGACGTATTTTTCCACTCGACATTTCGACTGAAACGCGCGACACGCGACCCAGTGAGTCCCCAGTGATAAAAGAGGGTGCGCCCTCCCCAGCGAGTGGCGCGACTGACCGACCGCCACGGATTAGAAACCAAACGACCGACAGCAGACGACGACGGAAGACGAGGCACCAGTACAAGTAAGTACCAGGACTACCACGGGCACTACTGCTACTACTGCCCGCTTCACTCGGATGCAGACAGGGGCAATGGGCTCCATGCAGCAGGACCCAGCGGCCTCGAAAGTACGTGCACGGACTTTGGACCCGACTCAGCACTCGGTGTCGGGCTCGACCACCGTCTCTTCGTACGAAGGGAGTGACGGTGACGACGTCATGCAGCGGACGTGCAGTCGACGGCGACGGCGCGAGAGCACGGCGACGGCTGGTAGCAGCGTCAAACTTAACGACTTGAATCGTGGTCACAGGAACTATGACAGGTGTAGTCGTAGTAGTAGTAGTGGTACTTCTACTTCTACTACGAGAGGTGCTTCGGCGCTGTCGTTTGCGAATGGCGTGCTGTCGTGGCTTATGGTCCGTACTGGTGCCTCCTGCACGAGTCTGGAGCAGCAGAACGAGAAGCTGGAAGAAAGTGCTGACCTCTGCTTGGTTGAGCAGACACACGGTGCTTTCTGGGAACTCGTGCAGCGCATTTTGGACCTGAATGACGTCGTGCTTATGATTCGTGTACTGCTCGACTTTCTTCAGGATGATCTGGGCGCTGCAGCCGCTGCTGTCTTTCTAGTGGATCAAAGCTCACAGAGTATGTCCCGTATCACCCGAGGTGCACCGACGCAGTCTGGACTGGTGCCCTCACGAGGACTTGTGGGTGAAGCACAGCAATCGCGACAAGCAAAGTTTCTAGACGACTTTAGCTCGATCGAAGGATATGATCCCGAGGTGGACTTGGCACATGACTTCCCGGAACAGAAGCTCCTTTGTGTCCCGTTGATGGAGCGTGGCTCAGTGTACGCAATCGTTGAGGCAACGACTGCTCACAGTACGCAGCGGGTAATGGATGACCTGTATGTTAAATTGTTGACGTGGTTAGGACCGCTTCTGAGCTCCTGCATGCGCAAGTGTATCGAGTTCCATGATGTGTTGCTGTCGGAGCGTACGCAGAAAGCTTTGCTTCACATCATTAGTTCGTCAGATACAGAAGATACGGTGTTGAATCTCGTGGACGGTGTAATTGATGGAGCGTGCCATATCACTAAAGCTGAGAGCGTATCGCTTTTCATGATTGACTGGGAGACCGAAGAACTTTGGTCACTTTCGTCCAGCTACTATGACGAGACGCTTCGCGTTCCCCTTCGAGATAGCATGCTGGGCCTTTCCGCTACCACGCAGCAGACACTGAACGTTCAGGACCCCGATACGGACTCTCGCTACAACTGGTCGATAGACCAGCGTCGTGGTATTCACACGCGCTGCGTGCTGTACGTTCCAGTGGGCATTCAGAGATCATCAGAAAATAATGAAACGTCTGCTGCTGGAAGTAGTAGTAGTCGACCCATTGCCGTGATAGAGATCATCAACAAAGTGGAAGAATTGCCTGGCGGACTGACTAGTGGATGCTGTCAGGGATTCACGTTTGACGATGAGTGTGCTCTCGAGGCGTTTGCATGCGAGGTTGCAGTTATTTTACGTCGACGCAGTACCGAAATCGAGTACATCAAGTTGTTGGCAGATACGCAGGCGGAGCAGGTTCTGGCAAAGCGTGCTCGCAGTCAGGTAAATCTACTTGAATGCTACACAAGTTATGCCTCCGCAGCCCATGCACACCCGGAAGCTTGTTTGCGTAACTCTTGTATTCCAAGTGACCGGCACGTAGCAGACTGTTCGGGGTGTGCGACGACCGCTAAGCTGAAGGATCAAGTTGACTTGTCTGCTTTGGCCACTGCTGTTTTTGCCAAAAACGGAGTGAGCGACCACGTCAAGCAGCGGTTTGGAAAGGTGATTGGCCATAAGAAGCAGAACTCGGGTCGACTGGGCTATGAGTTTGCTGGTAGTAGCCATCACATCCCGTCTCAGTTATTATTCAGTGCACCGCAAGGCTCTCGATTTCCGTCGTGGGATTTTAATGTGTTTACCACGGACCCAGCGGTTCTCCCGAAGCTCCTCGAAGAGATGTACTTGGATTTCAAGGTGGATGAAGTGCTGCACACGACGAAGCACCGCTTGCAAAACTTTATCGTGGCCATGAAGGACCACTACCATCCGAATCCATTTCACAACTTCCTGCACGCGTTTTCTGTCGTACACGCCTCCTATCTTCTGTTGAGCACGACAGATGCTGGTCAAATGCTTCAGCCGTTGGATATCGCAGCTTGTCTCGTTGCGTCACTTGGTCATGACGTAGACCACCCGGGGCACACAAACGATTTTGAAGTGAAGTCCGGATCGCAATTGGCGATGTTGTATTGTGACGAGTCCGTTCTCGAGCACCACCACGCCTACACGACTTTCCGCTTGATTTTCAAGGAGAAGAATGCGAACATATTGCAGAATCTGAATTCTACGGATTACTGCCATTTTCGTAAAATGGTGATCAATGCGATTCTGGGCACGGATATGGCAAATCATTTCAAGTTCTTGGAGGCGATTGAGAAGGTTCTACGACCTACCAGCCATCACGTTGACACGACTGCAATCTCATCAGCCAAGCGTGACAACTCAAGTGTTACTGCCATCATTGCAATGAGTAGTGGAGCAAAGCCGAGGCTGAATATAACGACAACCCAAGATCAAGGAAAAAAAGGCTCTGGGATCTTAAATGTGTTGCGTGACGCTGTAATGCAGTCTGAAGGAAATGCGGTCGTGACTTCTCTTGGAAGCACTACTGATTTGTCATCGAAAAGTTTTCACCTGGCCAATGGAGCAAAACGCGCTCCTAGTCGCTCATCAAGTGGGCAACTGACTAAGGGCGGCTGGACGTACAATGGCACCGTAGAAGACCGTCTATTCCTTGTAAAAACGCTTGTACATGCGAGTGACCTGTCAGGGCAAGTATTTCCGAAACCTATTGCTTTGAAGTGGAGCAATATGATCTCGAAAGAGTTTGCGCATCAAGCACTAATGGAGCAGGCTGAAAATATCCCGATCTCGTATCGAAATATCGATGACCCATTGAAAATGGTGGAAGGTCAGCTCTTTTTTGCACAGAAGATCGTGTCGCCGCTTTGGGACCTCATGTACATTATTTTCCCGAACATTGACGAGTGCATGCTAAATCTACGGTCGAATGTCGCGCATTACGAGCAAGAACTGCAGCGCCTTAAGGAAGCACACTCTGATGCGGGCCTTGATGCTGATCCAGCACGAGAGCAGAGTGATGAACAGGAGCGACGACACAAAGAACACGAGGCCCGTGACAAGATGGCACGTCGTCACTCCATGTGCGGCTGCGAATACGAGGGTGTAGCAGTACCGGGACTTGCGAGACATAATCCAGCAAAATTCAGCTCGTTTCGCACAATACCGGAGGACGATAGCAATAACGAGGATGTCGAGGCAAGTTTGGGTAGTGAGCGGAGTATTCAAGCAAGCGTTCTTGCGGCGGCGGAAAAGTCTCGGAAGGCAACGCGTTCAAGGTTGAGCAGTATTAGTAGTATTAGTAGCAGTGATTTGGAGGTCGACGAGCAATCGCTCTTTGTGTACGAATAGAATAGAGAGAGGGTTGGAACGTAAGCTTATGTTACATGGTATTTATTGACATTTAATGTCCGGTAGTTGTGTGTGAGTGGGGAGAGCTGAAAACATCTCGCCGACAGTCAAAGCAGCGTCTGGTGTCACCATTGACGACATGCTCGGAGCAAAAGTACCCTTCGCACCGCAAACATTTGGCGGCTTGCGAGAATAGTGCAAAGACAAAGTGGCATTCGCGGGCGTTGCAGTACCAGTCTGGGCGATCAGGAAGCTCGAGAAAAGGGCGTTGGGCTTGCCAGGATGCACGAAACGTTAGTCTGTCGGTCTCCCAAACTTCAAAAGTGCCAGTCTCTTGGTCAGTCAGCGCTTGGCCGACGGTCTCTGAAGCAGTGTCATCAAAGCGAGGTGACTCTAGCCACGATATCGCCATTGGTGAGCCACATAACGCTGAAGAGCTCACAAACTCGATCGAAGAGAGTTCGGGCATGCCGCAACTTAGTGTAACACTATTTTCAACTTCACGGGACGTTGACGTACACGTTGATGTACACGTAGACGTCGCGGATGACGTGCTCGAGCCTCTTGATCGGCCCTTGCATCCATTAGTCATATCTTGAGCTGAATCCTCTCCGTTGTTCCGTTCCGAATCTTCATTGCAAATGTTGGATGCCGCAATCGTTCGGTCAGACAGCCGACGATCATATCCAAATCCTTGAGCCTGTCGAACGCAGCTAGCTTTTGGGCACTGGTGCTTAAAAATACAAAGAGCATGTTGTGGTTTACAGCAGAATCGGAATTCGCAGTGGCCACACACTGCTGTCTCAAGGGTCAGCGCATCAAACTTCGTGTTGCAGTACAGACACACTTCCTCTTTTTCCAATACAAGGCGTGCCGCCGTCGTGTCACGCCGCTTCCAGCAATGTGCCAACTCTAACGGCGAAAGCCTTTGCATGCTTGTCTCCTGCATACGCGCACCGTAAGCAAGCAGTAGGCGTACCATGTCAGGCTGATTTCGAATAACGCTAAAATGCAAAGGCGTAAGACCGACATCGTCCCGATTGTCAACATTAGCGTTACAGTGATCGATCGCAAAGCAAGCAACCGGCACCTGCCCATGCCAGATAGCGAAGTGAAGAATTTCGTTGGCTAGTACGATACTAGCGTCAGTGCTGTGGTGACGGCGAATCATGTGCTCTTCCCACAATCGACGCACAAGTGAACCATTTCCTAATCGAATTGCCTCTGCCATCTCGGGTGGTAGCGTCCGATGCAATCCAAAGCTATCGACAGCGGCAAATCCTTCGTCACCATCTGCACAACTGTTATCACTGCTTGAAGCGCTCGTATCACTGCAAGAAGGAGTAGTGCCCATTGTTCGAATAAAATGCTCGCGAGATACATACACAGTCGTGTCCTCGCGGTGCATTTTGTGGTTTGGTTGGAGTGCGAGGGCCTGCAAGATAACGTGATACGGATCCAGCTCTCGCACTAGAGGCTTGAACTCGCGCAAAAAGTCTTCGAACGTCATGCACATGAGCTTAGCTTCCAGCAGTTTGAGAATCGCGAGTCCGGCTCGTAAGAAAATGTCTTGCACGCCAACAAAGAAGAGATCAAATATCGCGCACGCGAGGTCAGTCTTCGTCGACAACGAAAAGAGCGTGGTGAACCACTCGATGCCGTACATGGCAACGACAAAGCCTTGCTCCATGAGATGTGCGTGAAGGATCGGCAAGTCTCGGATAAACATCTTCTCAAAGTGGTGAAAGTATGTATCCAAGAACATGGAGCTGTTATGGTAGATCCCTGCCAGATGGCGCTTCTTGAGCATGTAAAGGAAAAGCGCATACGCGTCCGCTTCCGACAGCCCTTCAACCAAGAAGAGTGCCGCAATGAAGTTCATGCCCTGACAATAACCATCTTCAGCTTCTGCAATAGCGTTCAGGACTCGAAATAGGGCGCTCTGCTGGGCTTCCACTTGGTCCTGAAGACAGCTCCGCTCAAAAATACTGAAAGTGCGTGTAACGTCGCGGCCAATAGCACCCGAGCGTTCGTACTCGGGCGAGGAGATGAGGTAGTAGATCTCTCGATGGCGACATATAAAGTCTCTAGGTAAAACGCGCATGCGCATCCAGTCGATGCCCTCCGTGAGTGACAGCAGCAGCTTCCGCTCAGATTGGTCCGTGAAGTTGAACTGCTTGACCACATTGCGCCAAAACAGCTGCCGCTTTCTTGTCTCAGGTCTCGAACCGAACGCCATCAGCTCCTGCTGTGGTTTTCTGCTATTGGTCCCTTGGAAATCTTCGCAGCAGTGCAAGTGATGGCGAGGTCGGGGACTTGACTCTAGTGGACGTGCTTTCATCGGGGACGAAAGTATCAACTGAACGAACAATCAGTTCGTACCACCCCGTGGTAACAAATTGTTTGTAGTCTGGATCAGAAGTAAAAACAAATCTCCTGATTGCGACAAAGCGCTGCGTCTGACAATGACTAAATCGAAGGACCACGCTTTAGTTGCTTCCTATTTACTTACCAGTACTATCAGTCGTGCTCTGAGGACTTTAGAGAGATAACGCTCCTGGACGAAATGATCCCCGCGGTTTTGTCCGTTTTATCCCCCAAACAAACTTGAACCGGCGTTTCAACTACCCTACGTGCGCACCCGAAGCGATGTCTTATTGACCAATGAAGCAGTATCTATCGTCGGATTGGTGGAAATCCAACCGCCAAGAAACGCGGGAAACATGACGGCGACTGGGACGTCCAAGCCCGTGGAGGACGATGAAGCGGAGGCCGCGTGTCCAAAGCTGCCGCTGAAGCCGCAGGTGGTCCGCATTGAGGTGCTAGGCGACGAGAAGGTGGGCAAGACGTCGCTCATCTGCTCGCTCGTGTCTCGCCACTTTAGCGAGAAGGTGCCGAGTGTTTTGCTCAACGTGCAGATCCCGGCTGAAGAGAGCGACGAGAACGTGGTCATTTCCATCACTGACACGTCTTGTACGTTTAAACTGTACTATACTGTATTTGTGCTGCTTTGCTATACTATGTGTATAGTGCTTTATTGTATGGGGTGGTGATCTTGATTATGCACGGTGTATGTCGATGTCTTGACTTGTTGCAGCTCGTGTGTCGGACTTGATGCGTGTGACGCATGCTGTGAAGCGCAGTGACGCTATCTTGTTAGTGTATGATTTGACGAGACCGGAGACCTTTCAGCGACTACGACGGTGGCTGAACTTTATTGCTAAGAACAAGGAGATCCCAGTCGTGCTGGTTGCCAACAAAGTGGACATCAACGCTGTTACGCCCACTTCGGATGGAACATATGCAAGTCAAGTGCGTCACCTGGTCAACACGTACCCGGTGCGTCTTAACTCGTGGCGATGATTTCTAGTTGATGATACAAAGAGAGTTGCTGGTGGTGAAATAAGGATGGCGTTTATTGACACTCTTGTGTTTAGTTTGTGGTATCAGAGGTTGAGTGCTCGGCCAAGAACTTTACGCAAGTGGCGCAAGCGTTCTTTTTAGCACAGAAGGCGGTGATTTATCCTGTTGCACCGCTTTACAATGAGAAGAAGCGTGTACGTTGTGACAGAAACCAGCAATGGGTTGGTAAAGTGGTTTCTCAAGGTTGTGTTATCTCTTCTGTATAATGTGTACGACTTGCAGCAATTACAGCCTAAGTGTCTTAAAGCGATCAAGCGGATATTCCGCTTGTACAACCGCGATCGAAGTGGGATTCTCAGTCGAGAGGAGCTAAATGAGTACCAGTATGACTGCTTTGGTGTGCGCCTTGTTTCTACGGAGATCGATACGTTGATGGAATATCTTTTGTCCGAAGTGCCGTCCGGAGTAGCTCCCGATCGCAGTGGACTACTCGTAGATGGTTTCATCTACCTGTGGTGGCTATTTATTGATCGCAACCGGCCGGAATCAGGCTGGCAGGTGCTGCGAAGTTTAGGATACAACAATGAGCTGCACCTCGAAATCCCTCCTGAGCGTTTGCAACTACCTCCGCACGACGAGGATCAGTCTGCGCAGCTTACTCCTTCAGCCGTCGAGTTCTTGACACACTTATTTCGTCAATTTGATGCAAACAAGGACAACAACATCGCAGAGAGTGAGATTGAAGCTATTTTCTCGATTTGCGAGGAAGAGAGTGCGCCGTGGACAACTTGCTCGGCTATTCCGTCACCATTATTGTTTGAAAGAACTGTTGTCGATGGGAAGCCCACGCTTTCGCTTGCAGCGTGGCTAGCTTGCTGGAGCTTTGTGGCCCAGGAAAATCCGCCGAAGCTTCTTGAAACGCTGTTTTACCTGGGGTACAACGATAAGCTTTTTCCTGCAATCGATTTTGTCAGGTACGTGTCCGTGTGCTCGAGGTATCTGGTCAAATGCGCCTCTTACGCTCGTTTTTGTCGCCTTCGTTTAGAAAACGCAGTGCGATGCGTCATGCAGCAAAGATCGAACGTAACGTGATTTCATGCTATATCTTTGGCTCGCCGAGGTCAGGAAAGGAGCACTTTGTTCGCACATTCGCTGGATGCAAAGACGCTTTTTGTGCAGACGATGAGCAATCGATTCTTCGTAGCATTGGCGCTGTGCCGGACCAAGACACGACGAAGTATCTCTTCGTATGTTGATGCTTACTGATATCTTGTAGGGAAGGTATGCAATTAGCAGGTGTACTGAAAATCAATCGGGTATTGCATGCCATGAACAGATCACAGAAGCCTTGTCAGACGACGAGATAGAGTCGAACGCTGATGTTCTGCTACTGGTGTTGAACCCTGAGGACGAGCCAAGCAAAGTGTTTGTGGAGGAGCTAGATAAGAAGCTGCCTGACTCCATTCCGCGTGTAGTGATTAGCTACAAGCCGAAGGTTTGCAAGAATGACGTGGAAGATAGCGAGAAGGGCATTACTGACAGCAGCGCTTTGGTACCGGACAAGCCAACCGATTTTGCAATTGATGCATTGCTGAAGCAGTATTCGACATCCCTTAAGTGCTTTGAGCCGCACTGCGTCAAGGGTGAGGCCGCCCGTGTGCTCGTGGCAACTGCCTTGCGACCGTACGTGTCGTATGCCGTCTTGCGAGAAGGGATGAATTCTTGACCTCATTGCGATCTGTCGTTTGTGTACATGTGACGGGTGTGCTGTGCAGGCCAAACAACGCGCGCTCTAGGTCGTCCGGGATCTGGTTGCCGGGTCGGAAGACGACCTGGAGTCTAGTTGGGTTGACCGCTGTTGTGGTCGTTGCGTTCGTTGCTAAGCATGAAGAGAGCAAGGCCTTCGTGAAGACTATGGTCTCGAAATTGCGACGTTGACGTGCAAGTGTATGCAAGGCAGCGTAGAAGCGGGGGTGGAGCCACAATTGTTCACGTCAACATGTTTCCTTGCTTGGCTGAAGGAGCAGCTGCGAGAAACTAGTGATTGGGTTGACTTCAACTTTATTTCGGCGTGACCATTTATTTTCTCTAGTTTGGGCTTGCACACATTCGCGAAAGATAAATTCGCGTCGTGCATTTCATTTAACTCTTGTGCAGTGCTGCGCCGATTAAAACTTGATTGTTTTGGGTCGTTTGTGACGCCGATATTCCTTTTCGAGCAGATTGAAGTCGTTATTGTAAGGGGGAGCCAACGAAAAAAAGAGCACAAGTGAATGAATAGACTGGCTATCTGCCCGTCGCTTTGCCACATGTTTCTCCACTCCCGTCATCAAATCGCCCAGGTCGTCGCTTCTGCCGATTGCGTCTCCCCATCATCCCCCTGTGCCACGATTACGGCACACGAAAGTGAACCCACTGGAGCTGCGTGGCAGCCAAACGTCAACAACAACCGCTAGTTGTCCGCGTCTCACTTGCACCATTTCTCAATTTGCGACCTCTCGAGCATTTCGAGCCAAAAAAACAAATGGAACGAAAACGCGGACCGTCGCCACAGCTCACGTGCCGCAAGCCACTAGCTGTGCCGCGGCTTGTCGTTGAGCCCGACTTCGACCGCGATGAACCTTTTACCAGCGTTCCTGTGGAGCACACGAGTGTTCGCGGCGTGTTCCTGCTCGCAATGGCCGTCACGTCGTTTGCGGCTTTTACGCTCTTTTCACTGGCGGAGCTCACGCACCACCACCCGAGGTTCCTCTTTGCCGATTTCTTGCAAGGCGACACACATGCGGCGGCTCAGTGGCTGTTGCTGCTGACTGTACCTGCGACAAGTGCAGCTGCGTGGTTCCCCATCTCGATCTCCCATGTACCAAGCGGGAGGTTACTCATCACGTCGGCAGTGCCGCCGCCACTGTCCCCTACACTGGTGGCGCCGTCTCGTAGGGCCCCCTCGTCGTTCTTTGCAAAACTCACGCGACGTTTTCGTCACAATTACATGTTTGCCATCTACCAGAGCGTCGGGTGGACACTGTACGGACTTGTGGTGACGCTGCAGCTCAGTTGCTTTGGATCGTATAAAGTACGGGACCTGTTGTTCTGTAATCCAGGCAGTCGTTCGGTCCAGGCCGTGGTGGCGTTCATTGCTGAGGTGCTGATCATTTCGTCCGTGTTGACGCTGGAAAAGCGTCGAGATCGCAATCGTCAGCGACGGAAGGATCGGTTTGTGGTGCAGCTGAACAACTTTAATAACATGCTGTTGCTGGTAGGCGCGACCTTGCTTGCTCTAGCGTCTGAGTACACGCGCGTGTTCCCGCACCCGTCGGGCAGCAGTGTCAGGTACCCAATGGTCACCGGTCTAGGTTCCCTCGCTCTCTTTGTGACGGCGCTTTTCAACACGTATGGATTGGGTGGTGTCTTGTCGACAAAGGACGGCTGGAGTTTCTACCAGCCTTTCATGGGCGGTGCGCGTTTCGTGCTATTCCAGATTGTGTCATGGACGTGCTTTGGCGCAGGTGCGGCACTGCAGTTGTTGTATCTACTTTCGATGGTAGTCGTGGAGCTGGAACCGTTTGTGGGTGCGATGGCTGTCGCCGGGTCGTTGTTTGTGTTAGCAGAGATTGGCATGATGATGTCGTTGCTGGTTTTCCGGAAGTCTGCGTTATCGCCTGTGGCATCCGCTACTACTTTTTCGGAGACGGTCTCGTTTGGTGACAAGAACTTGATTATAAAGCCCGAGACTTTGTCGGAAGGGAAAGTTGATAAGCAGTCGGTTGCAGCAGGATCTTTCGCGTGCTGTTTGAAGCTTCATAACCGACTACGAAACTTTGCCGACGAGTGTCTTGGAGTTCTTGTCGTGGGAGTTCTGGCCAACATACAGTTCATTCCGAATGCCTCGTGCGTCGTCCTGTTCGCTGCTACGACAAATTTGAGTCCTGCTGGCATTGCATTTTATATCGTTATGGTGACGTGTGGGGAGTTTGTCATGGTCGCCTCTCGCTTACTTGCCACCCAATTGTACTTGATTGACTCGCGCAACGGCTTGTTGGAAGAAGTCAATCGCTACCATGTGAAATATGTGCTGCCCCAAATCCTCGCCGCCTGTATACCAGCCTTGGTTACGTACCGTCACTACATTCACGACATGGACACCTTCGTACCAGTATGTATCCTCACAATCTTCATTTACTTGTACGAGTTTACGTACCGAGGTAACCCGCAACAAACAGGCTGCCGCGAGCGAGCTAGCTGGATTACAGGTCGTAACTTTCTCATTGACACCGTCAGGCGGTATTTCAGCGGAACCATTATTCGGATGGCTCCGTTGGATCCAAAGCAGCATTATATCCTGAGCTTCCACCCTCATGGCATCTATCCCATCTCCGTGATGTGGCTCCAGCTCACGACACAATGGAGACGTCTATTTCCAAACTTTTACGCGCACATTTTGACGGCGAGTATTTTGCATCAAGTTCCGCTCGCCCGAGACTTGCTCCAGTTTTACGGATCGCGTGAAGTCACTCGACAAGCGTTTGCGTACACCCTGCAGCAGAAAGAGAGCGTGTTACTTGTACCTGGTGGTCAGGCTGAGATGCTGCTGCAACAGTCTGGAAGAAAAGAGGTGCGCGTGTACACGCATCACAAAGGTTTTATCCGTCTCGCTATCGAGCACGGGGTGCCGCTGGTGCCAGTTTTGAGTTTCAAGGAAGGTGAGATGATGGACAACATCCAGGCTCCTCTGGTGCAGCGCTGGTTTGTCAAGAAACTCGCTTTTCCGTTTCCCTATTTCCCATACGGCCGTGCACTGCTGCCGATCCCGCGTAAGGTCGATATTCCAATCGTAGTTGGGGAGCCTCTTGAGGTGCCCCACATTGCAAAGCCTACGCAAGCCGACATCGACAAAGTCCATGCTACCTATTATACCGTGCTTCAAAACATGTTTAACAAGTACAAGGACGAGGTCGGATGTGGCGACTACAAGCTTGTCCTGATCTAGTGCGACTAGAGCCGCGTGAACGATGTAGTTGACTTGGTCTAGATAAAGTATTTTTTCATCGATATTTGGTCCGGAAGGACAGATTTGGTACACACACGTCTTGATACGTTGCGTCTCGTGCTGTGGTTCTTTGTAGTGCCTGTCGATATTACTACTGTGCGTTGAAACTCAAGCTTGCATCGAATAGCTACGTTTCTAACACAAAATGTACAAGAAATGATTCTAACATGGTGTAAACACTCATCCAGAATGGGAAAGGAAAATCCAATGTTAATCATTAGGGAAAGGTTAAACGTGCTGGTCGCGAGTGGCCAATATGCCGGCATCTTGTTTTGGCCAATCAAAAATAGACTTGATGATCTTTGTATGTCATATTCAATCTTGTTCTGATACACTCCGCACCAGGTGATATCGTACAACTGTACTTTTATCCACTGCTCAGTCAGTTTTACGAATTAGCGGGTGCTATTTAGATACGTGGTGTATTTTATTGATAGAAACACCCTAAGTGTGTTAACGATTGCGATTTCGCAAAGCGTACGGGACCTCACATACAATTGACTGGTTTTACCACTGCGACATACAAAATCGTACAAATGGCATATAAATTCTAAGTATGAAACGAACAATTAGAGACTCAATGTATTTAATAGTGCGTTTTATGGCCCTTCTTTTCGATGACCCCAATGCATCGTCGCGGCATCGAGCGAACAAGCGATACAAGAGTGGCATCCGGAATTGCATTCCAAGCTGCAATTAGCGCAGCCTTTAGCTCGGACACGCGCTCGAATTGTGTTCCATTGGCGTACACTTGCCTGCTAACGATAGACCACAAATTCTCGAAGGGGTTGAGATCAGGTGACTTTGATGGCCAGTCAAGCACCTGAATGCCTTCTTCACTGAAGAATTCGCGGCTACTGTAACGGGGTAAATCGTTACATTACAATTTATAAGAAATTGTTAATAGAATATAACTATAAGAGTTATATTCTCGGAATATTGTCATAAGGACAAATATTCTGTAGCACTTACGAGCAGTTCCTAATTGGTTGATATAGGCCATTATATCAACTAACGAAGACGCGCCACGACAGACGCACGCAATGAGTGGCGAGCAGATAATTGATTTACACATTTGTATTTAGACATAGTTAGATGAAGATAAATAGTGATTTATTGCAGACATTAACTATACTAAATACAGTTATACTTTTTACTTAAACCAAGTACTCGCTTCTTCTTACCGTCTTCCTCTGCACGTACGAGTGTACGTGAAGTTCCGAGGCACCGCCTTATTCTGTCATCAGAATAAGTAGCTTGTACTGTCACCAGTACAAGCTTCAGGGTGCCCCGTTACACCTGGTAGCACTTCGTAGTCCGTCCAAGGACCACGTTCACATCTAACATGAATATGTTGGATGATGAAGATGACCGAAGCTTTCAAGCTGCGCGTGACGGCTACTCCCATTTGAGCGATGTCGAATGAGATGCGTTTGAACGGATGGGTTCAACCATGGGCATCCATGCTGTTAGCGTCATGTTAGAGGCTCTCAATAGAGATGCCCAACATGCTACTATCGCCAAGTTCATTCAAAATGAACTTGACGCAGAACGCGAGAAAGTAGCCTTGCTTCACCAACAAGGTTCTCAACAAGCAGAGTTGTTGAGAGAACAGGGTGCTCAACAGTTGAACTGTTGAGACAGCAGTAGGCTGCTGCTGGTGGGTCGATGCACTCGCGTCGACCCAAAACCTTGAAGATTGACATCTCCAAGTATAGGGGAGTCGAAGAGGACTCCCTCTTGAGATGGTTCGTCGAATTGGATGACGCCATAAGGGCGCGTCGCATCGACGACGGGGATATGCAAGTTGCATTCGCCCAATCCAATCTGGCAGGACGTGCCAAGACTTGGGCTTTGGGGCTCAAGTTGCACGACCCATTTGCGTTTAGGTCGCTAGAAGTCTTCATGTCGCGGCTCAGACAAACGTTTGAACCGCCTAGAGCTGAGTTCAGAGCTCGAACTAAACTCTTGCAGCTCAAACACGGTAAGCGTGATGTGCACGCTTGCGCACAACATATACGACATCTCACGAGTTGTATAAGTTCCAACCCGGTTAATGAACACACGTTGGTTTCGGTGTTCATGCAGGGTCTTGCGGATGGTCCCGTCATGACTTACCTGTTTCGACTTGAACTAGATTCACCAGAACAAGCCATTTCCATTGCGGAACAGGAAGACTTCAGTCTGAGACAGGCTCGCGCCAGCTCGACATCATATCGTCAACCGAGACGATATGACAGCGGAAGTCCAGAGCCGATGGAACTCTGTTATGTAGAGAGCGAGAAGGCTCGCTCTACAGGCTACAAGAAGTTGCAGAGATGCAACAGATGTCAAAAGACAGGACACTACGCTTACGAGTGTAGTGCCCCTCGTCCAGTGTCTCGCAACACTGGGCGTAATGACCGTCCACCCATGAGAAAGGGGCAGGGACGCGGGTCCGCTGTTGGTGCAAAGACGCAACAACGGGATGGACCGTCAAAAGACGGACAGGATCAGTAGGTGCGGAGCACCCTACTGGTCCAGCAACGTCAAGAGAATTTTCAGGCCTCTTGACGAAGGTTGCTCCCAACACACGAATATTGTGCTTTGCTGCTCTAGGTAATGAGATCTCACTCGTTACCTTGAAACTCGAAGTGACGAATAAGTTGTCCCTTCGAGCTCTAGTCGATTGTGGGGCGTCTAACAATTTTGTGCAACGCCAATCGCTAGAAGATGGTCACTTCAAGTTTGTTGAGTGTGACACACCTCCTACGAGGATGACGGTACGTCTTGCGACAGGCGCATCCGTAACCGTCATGGAGCGTATAGTGAAGATTCACTATATGCTAGAAGATACCCAATATGACGATGACTTTATCGCATTGGATTTGGATGACAAATTTGATGTCATCCTTGGAATACCGTGGCTCAGAAGGTACGAACCACGGGTTAACTGGCAACATCGAACAGTAACGATGCCTGCCGCTTGTTCATCAGATGGCCATCTGATGAACGTTTTGGAGCGTCCACAAGCGTGTGGATGTAATACGAGTGAGTGCTATGACCTCACTTGTGGTACGGTCGTCAGTACGACTACACAAAACCTTAGTGTAACAAACGGTTACACTTCGGAGCAAGATTCCGGCGGCTGTGAGGGAAACACAGGCTGCGCCGAAGGTCCACCACTCGAATAAGTCGAGTGGACCGGGACAAAGATGTATCCCTAGCGGGGAACATCTAGAAGATTAACAATCGATCGCTCAGGTTAAGCGAAACGATAATCCTAGATCGACTGGAGAGTCCTTCGTAGAGGATCTCGCTGTGGTTGCGCAACCACAGCTAGAGGAAGTTAAGGGAATAAGTCCCGATATTACAAGTACGCCGGAAATAAGTTCCCCGAAACCCGCGGGAATAAGTCCCCGGGAAGCCGAAGGAATAAGTCCTTCGAAGCCTGAGGGAATATGTCCCCAGGAAATGACAGAGACATTGAATGTCCTAGTCAATAACGGATCAAGTGTAGGCGCTTATACACTTGATCTGATTGCGCCTCCGAAGTTGACTTCGGAGATCACTCAGTTGCCAAAGCTCGAACATAAAAGGTTCTTGCGTGATCTGCGTAGTGGCAAAATCAAGCAGATCTGCGTACTCGTCGCTGACGACGAGTGCGTAGCCGACATAAGGTCAGCAACAGTGTTTACTGAGAATGAGAGAGTTCTCAGTAGTTCATCTATGGACGAGAGTGTCCTAGATGAAAAGACACGAATCGAGCGATATGACTCCCAATCGTGGGAATCGCTCAAGACAAATCCTCTCTATGAAGATCTGGTTGAATTCAAGGATGTACTCCCTGAAACTGTTCCGTGCGAATTACCGAAGGATAAAGGTATTCGACACGAGGTCGAGCTTAAACTAGGCTCGAAGTACTGTGTCATGAAGCAGTGGCCACTGCCTCGTGAACAGGTAACAGCGATCGATAAGTTCTTTGCCGATCGTTTAGCTGCGGGCCATGTGAGGGAATCAACTTCCCCACATAGCTATCTGATCTTCTGTGTGCGAAAAGCTACAGGAGAATGGCGGATAGTGCACGCGTTCAACAAATTGAATGCTGCAATGGTACCGGCTCAGACGCCGATACCGAGGAAGGACGTAATCATAGATGGTATGTCAAAGAGTACCATCTTTTCGTCCATGTATTTGATGGATGGCTTCTATCAAATCCTTATGCGGGAACGGGACATACCCTATACCGCAGCTAGCACGCCTAGCGGCATGCTCTGGGAATGGCTAGTAATGCCACAAGGGCTTATTAATGCCCCTGCCACGTTCAACAGATGTGTATCACATCTGTTGAGACCAGTACGAGAATTCGCACCGAGTAATTTCGATGACGTATTCATCCATAGTCGGGCTATCGATGGAAAGTCGGACGTTGAGGTTCACAGATACCACGTCCGACAGGTTCTTAAAATCATGCGAAAGTATCAATTGTATGCAAACCTCAAGAAGTGTAACGGGGCACCCTGAAGCTTGTACTGGTGACAGTACAAGCTACTTATTCTGATGACAGAATAAGGCGGTGCCTCGTAACTTCACGTACACTCGTACGTGCAGAGGAAGACGGTAAGAAGAAGCGAGTACTTGGTCAAAGTAAAAAGTATAACTGTATTTAGTATATTTAATGTCTGCAATAAATCACTATTTATCTTCATCTAACTATGTCTAAATACAAATGTGCATATCAACTATCTGCTCACCACTCATTGCGTGCGTCTGTCGTGGCGCGTCTTCGTTGGTTGATATAATGGCCTATATCAACCAATTAGGAACTACTCGTAAGTGCTACAGAATATTTGTCCTTATGACAATATTCTGAGAATATAACTCTTATAGTTATATTCTATTAACAATTTCTTATAAATTGTTATGTAACGATTCACCCCGTTACAATACCAGGTACGATC